CTGAACCGAAGAGTCGGGAGCCGTGCTCTGTGTGTCGTCGAGTGCTTCGCGAGTTGTAGCGTGGAGAGTCTCGAGAGTACGTGGAGTTCCGAGAACGACCGAGCAGAGTCGGGAGCTGTACTCTGGTGATTCGCAGTGAAGCTGTCTCCACCGTTATAGCCTGATTGCCTGGAGGCTGTGTCGCTGATTGTGTCAGCGTTTTTATAGTAGTTCTTCGACGGCTGTAAAAGTGATTTTGGAGCTCTCCTGATTAGTATTGGCTGAATAAAGTGTGTTTTGATATTTCATCCAGTAGTGTCGTTATTATTCCCTCCAAATCTACGAACCCCGTAGTAACGTGAAGGAAAGCAACAATATTGTTAGTCCTATGATTGATGCTCGGATTAGCCGAATTAAATCCAAAGTGTTCCTCGGAATAATCATCTGATTTCACTTCCTGGAAATGAGCTGGCCAAATGGGTAAGTGGTTAGTGACTCTGACTGCCGTACGGAAGGACCCTGGTTCGAATCCTGGAGAAAGCATGGATGTAAACTGTCTGTCCCTTCATATGAGGCAACGATAGCCCACCGATTAAGTACCTCCATAATAAAGTGACCGCCACTTCCGGCCTTGGTAGCAGCCAACGACCTGCCATTGGTGAGGAAGGGGGAAAAGTGGAAATGGATGAAATTTCAGACATGCTCAATGGGCGACATAACCGGGGAATAATCAGGCCATGAAAGAATCGAAACTTGTTGAATATGCCATAAGAAGGCTTGTGCAATGTGAGAAACATGTGCACGGGTATTATCTTGCTGAAATACAGCGCCCAGAATGGGTCGAAGAATGATGATGACCTCTGACTATACACCTTCCCTTATGTAGCAATCACTGTTGAAGTTGCCCGAAATCTGCACTGGATGGGATCTACAGGTATACCCAATAGCTCCCCACACCACGATGCCAGGCCGTTGTGCGGTATGACGCTGGATATCACACTGTGGGAGCAGACGTTCCCCTCTGTAATGTCTGACGCATACTCTTCCATCATTGTACTCCAGACCGTTGAGAGATTCATCGGAGAAAACAAATTGTTGCCACAGGGCACGCCAAGCTATGTGTTGTCATGGCCATTGAAGTCGGAGGTGTCTGTGATTGAGGGAAAAAGAAATCCTGCGTAGAGAAACGCCTTCACGCAGTTCATGTTGCAGCAGACAGCAACGAACACCTGTAGCCAAGATAATACAACACCTGTAGACGTGTTCCAACGTTGTGCTAACACACGAGAAGACGCGGTACGATCCGTCACAGCCATGCGGATGAGGTGTGTATCATCCCATGCCATTAGGCTATTGTGTGCCCTACTGCCAAGATTTCGCCTTGTTTTGGCGATTTCTTCCAAACACGCGTCACCGTTGTGGCATTACGTTGAGTGCGGGCTGCGATTGCTCGATACGAAAGTCCACCCTCTCGCGTACCGACGAATGCGGCCTCGTTCGAATTCCGTGGTAGTTGGTATGGCCCTTTCTGCTGCTGACGAGGCATATTAACCGCTAATAAAACGTTCTCCTCAGACAGAGGACGATAAACAGATTTCAACGCAACTTTACAGTCTTTTATGCACATAGAACAAGAGGCTGGATCTCATTCCACACATGCGCAATCGCTTTGTAATTCTAATCATTTGCATGTTTTACCTCACTTTACATTTCCTGTAAGTTTAGTTCAATTTGCATAATTCCTTCATGGTGTTGCAACTTTCACGACCATTATTGTAGAAGCACGTTTAGCTCCGTATGGTTTGGAATTCGATTCCCGTGAAGGCACTGCATATTTTTCAAGCTTTCTCTTCCGAAATGGACTTAGTGACTCTGCATGTTGATTAAAACGAAATTAAATACCAGTACTTACTGATTAAATATTTGGTTGAATCCTCATATAAAGTTTTGCAAATGTCTACAGTAGATTCAGACAATTCAGGTCAAATAAATTGTAATAAGAAAAGTTATGCTGAATATCAGTAGGGATGGGGAAATTAAATTTTCACAATTTTAAGCTTCTTTAATTCAATAATGAAACTTAAATTGTGCACAATTTTTTTTTCTTTTTCTTTCTTTCTTTCTTTTCTTCTTCTTTTACTCCCTCACATTTTTTTAATTTTATTGCAGAAAAATACGTATTAATTTGTTAATGAATATCGTTCATTAAGGAAAACGCTAATTAGTATTTAATTTTATTGCTGAAAAGATTAAAAACTTAAAAACCGAGAGATTTGATTATCTACAGCAGGGATGTCAAACTCATAGGTACACTAGGGCCAAACAAACAAGGTTTTAACTTTAGGCGGGCCGGAAAAAAAAAAAAAAAAAAAAAAAAAATCAATATTCATAGAAACGTAGATTTATTTCGAATAATACAATAATAAACATATATATATATATATATATTTATATAGAAAAGAACAAGAACAAGTTGCCATCCACAATCTGGATTTTTGTGGATGGCAACAGCAATTACGAGATATTTATTTATTAGGCATTAAATGCACGCGCTGTTCTATTTTTAACCTTCCAATGCAGCTGTCTTTTCAAAAATCGTCTGAGTTGCTAAGGCAACATGAAGCAAATCTAATTACAATTCTAAATAAAAAAAAAAAAACTAAATAAATAAATAACTATGAAATCCATAACAATATGAATTAAGTAATAATTAATAATAAAGCAAAGTGCATGCATATGCATGCACCAATATATCGTACAAAACTATGATTGGAAAACTGAGACCATGAGTTCGGCCACATTCGGCTATCGGGGGGGATGCGTACAAGTTCTGAGTGCACGTGTCCCCCAAAAGCGGAAGGTAGCTGAACGCAAGCTACTCACACGCATTTGTCATTTAAGTAGTGTGTGTGTGTGCGTGTCAGCTCGCTGTGAGTAATCTAACAACACTGAATAAATTATCGTTAATTACTTAGCAGTAAACATTTCATTTTTTTCTTCGTCGATATGTTATTTTATTATTATATATTATTATTTGCCGATATATTGGCCGGGCCGCAAAATATTTGTTGTGGGCCGCGAGTTTGACATCCTTGATCTACAAGGATAACTAGGCACCACTAGCCGCCGAGTGGTAAAGTCGCTGAACACTCGTAGTTCGATCCGAGGTTTCGAATCCCGCGAATAGGCTGGTTGCATGGGTGTTTTCGTAGTTTTCTCCATGTGTAACGTGAATTAGTTCTGTTTCCGCGATTCCTCTTTCCGCGTTTTTCAAAATTCTTCCTGTTCCCGCCAAATCGGAGAAAACAGTTTTTCTCCCCCTCAAGGGATGTCAGGATAAGTTATTAAGAAGAATTGGGCAGTTTCTTTGAGAATAAGTTAGTCTTCGTTAAGTTTACGCTCCTCTTTAAATCTCTAATTTCATTCTATTTATAATTCTGCTACAATATTAGCTGTTATTTTCACATCTTATGTTAATATCGATTTTAGACATTATCGAAACTAAAAGGGAAGCCAAGTCTTTAGTCAAGTCCCTTTATAAAGGTTATCAGTATCGAATTCGAAATAGAAATAAGGAAAATGTAGTTTATTGGATTTGCATAAATGAAAGAATTAAAAGGTGCAATTAAAACCAAAGCAGAAGTCGTTTTTGAAGAACGAACGTTATTTTAGAGCGAATATTTGTTCTGAAAGATTTTATTATAACTCACCTTTATGCAGAATTTTGGAAGAATATTTTTTTTTTTTTTTTTTTTTTTAAATTTAGGAAACGATATTTTAGTTCATTGCCAAAACCATCGCAGAGTTTGAACATATATATATGTGATGTACCAGCTTTTGTCCGGAATAAATAGATTGGTGAAGAATCATAGATGTAGTCGTAGCTTAAATTATCAGACGATAAGTTTAAAAAAACAGGATCCATTTATTATATTTCGGGAGAAAATAGCAGTTACAAAAATTAAGATATCCGGAGTAAATAAAAAGAATTACTAATAACATTTTGTATGAAGTTTACTGCATCGTTACATTAAAGAAAAGCCCCCGATATTCTTTTGCGAGTCCTTTTATAGCCTCTGGAAAGGCGGAGGTTCCAAGAAATGACGTCAGCCTCGTCAGCCAATCCAATTCGCTTTAAATATTTCCAGAACATTCTTATAACTGTACGTGGAGAAAAGGCGGGAAAAACAACTTGACTACGGGGCTGTGGATTTAATTCCACGTACTTTCAAATAAGAGACCGTCGCCATTAAAAATGAAAAGAATATACAGTTAGAATTTTAAGTGTAATTTTGACTATGGAATTTTATTATTACATATATATATATATATATATATATATATCTTCTTAAATATAGTATTAGCTTCATTCATGAAAAGATCTGAAATTGTAAATATTTTTCGATTATTTGTTTTAAAATTCTTTTTTCTAAATCGAAAAATTTTTTGCTTTCTTACGTTTCGGTAGATGCCAAGGTCCACTCGGCCTCCCATTATGTAACCTTTTTGAGAAGGGGTAATGAAGATTGATGATTTCGCGGAAATTGGAAAGTTTTTGACAACCGCGGAAACAGGAAGACGTGTAACGTGTGTACGAGCCAGTTTAAATTAAAAAGTCCTATACGAAGGCATCCTTTCCTTTAGGCTGATAGCCCTCAAGACTTTGCCATAATCACATAAACCAAACTACCGGTATAATTGGCAGCTGTTAAAAGGTGATAAAAATTCTCAAATATCAGTGCAAAAGTGGAGTTTTCTCAGCGCTAGGATATTCTTTATTCTCCTTAGCCCATTACGTCTCGCAAAAATTTCGTCACTGTCGCGATGTTGCTCTTGAATAATTATTTGCTTTTTGCCAGTTGGCGTTTATAATTAGGGAGGGGGGAGAGCAAATTTAGGCCTTTAGTTTCATTTATAAAATAATTAGCATTTGCGTTAATAATTTGTCTTTTTTTATTTGTAATTTTATGTATATATATATATATATATATATATATATATTTTTTTTTTTTTTTTTTAAGATCAAACTTGTAAATATCAGAGCAGAAGATATAGTGGATGGAAATCCAAAACTGACACTAGGCCTTATATGGACAATAATCCTCCATTTCCAAGTAAGTTCTTTTTGAACATGATTTTTTTTATTACCATTTGTGTTATTCATTTGCAGGATATTACAGTTTCAGCTCGACGTTGTGTTAAAAATTATATATATATGTGATGTATCAGCTTTAGTCGTAGCTTAAATAATCAGACGATAAGTTTAAAAAACAGGATCCATTTATTATTATTCAGGAGAAATAGCAGTTACAAAAATCAGATATCTGGAGTAAATAAAAAGAATTACTAATAACTTTTTGTATGAAGTTTACTGCATCGTGGCATTTAAGAAAAAGCCCCGATATTCCTTTTGCGAGTTATTTTATAGCCTCTGGAAAGGCGGAGCTTCCAAGAAATGACGTCAGCCTCGTCAGCCAATACAGTTCGCTTTAAATATCTGGAGAACATTCTATAACTGTACATGTAGAAAAAGCGGGAAAAACAACTTGACTACGGGGCTGTGAATTTAATTCCACGTACTTTCAAATAAGAGAACGTCGCCATTAAAAATGAAGAGACATACAGTTAGAATTTTAAGTGTATTCTTGACTATGGAATTTTATTATTACAAATATATATATATATATATATATTATTATTTATTTATTTATTTATTTTGCGTAAATGCATTAAACGTCTTTATAATAAGCTTTTTTTTTTTTTTTTTTAACGCAACTGAGCAACCATTAAGCAGTTAAGTTGTGAATTCGTAAAAGATGGTTTTCGATTTAGAATTTTGTAGCGGTGGGTACTTAACATCGTCTAAGAAACTTTTCCGTTGTTCACAATATAGCAGGGAAATGACGGGACTTTTTTAGCCCAAAGCAGCGTTAGCTTATCAGAAGGGATATCAGTCTGGAAACGGGATATTGCTTTGAATCACTGTAAAAGGCTGAAGCACTTTTCAGATTGTTGCCACCAAATGTTATCGCTTGTATTATTTTAAAAGAAATTAAATATGCAGAAATATAGGTATGTTTCTGGGATTCTGAAAAAATGACGGTACTTAGAGCCATCCAGTTTTGAATAACGTAATCCAGCATCCGAACACGGGCACTTTGAAGCCCGAATTTCGAATGTGTTTTATTATCTATGTCGCATTTTGCAAAATTTTAACGAATTTTTTATTAACAAACGGAACGATTTCATATCGAGCAGTGGCAACACTGTACAGGGAAAGAAAAAAAAAATATTTAAAAAAAAACTTCTAAAAAATTTATTTAAAAAAAACAGTTATCGGAAATTCTAAAGATATGCCGTTTTTAAATATTTTATGATATTGCTGTTGAATTGAATTTTATGGGTTTAACTGCGAAGAACATGATATTTAGTAAATTAAGGTAACACACAAAACGGGAGGGGGGGAACACAAGCTTTCAAATTTTTTTCCTTTTTTTCAGATTCTTGTAAAATTAATGAGGTAAAACTGCATTGCATTTAAGTCATTTATTTGCTGTCTAGTTTGGGCAAATTAATTTTAGTACTTAGAATTAAGCATATGTTTTTGAATGCTGCATCTTACATCATTCAGGCGTCGTATAGGTACCATAATATTAAAACTAAACGAGGAGGAACACGGCAATAAAAAATTTAAAATTAGGCAAAAATACAACGTTAATTTTACGTAAATTTTGAAGAAAACTCAATCGATTTCCAATGCATTCAAACACGAGTCTTTCATCTTCTGCTAAATCTACTCCTGTCTCTTCTTCTAATAACATTTTTGAGAAGCTTCAAGAAAATCCATTTCATTTGAAAAAGGCTTATGGATAACTTTCGTGAAAGCGAATTCAAAACTGTGATGGAGTGCCCATCTGTGATTAGCTGTGGAGGATTTGTTTACTTCTCCTTTTCGAACATCGCATTCTTTGACTGAAATTTTTACGCTGTTTTAGATTCGACCGATGTATCTCAAATCACACGGATAAGATTCGCTTATGAGTTGTCCGAGAGTTAGTGTAGAAATGGAATCTTTAAGAATCGACCAAAGAATTTTACTGAAAGGTGAGAAAACGGCTGGAAGTTGAATTTCTGAAGAATCCGAGTGATTTTGACGGAAGAATGAAATTGAGTAATAGTGTTATTGTGGTTATTTCTAATGTTAAAATAAAATCCACCGAGTCAAACGACGGTTGCATAATCATTAAAATAATCAGTGGCAACTGTAAACATAGTGATTGGTAACCGATTTGAATCTTAAAAACGCGAAAAAACATAACAGCGTCTTTCTCCACATTACCGGATCGTATAGGTTCGGGGCCCGATTGGAGTTTTTTTTTGCGGGGCCCTCTCTATATATTAAATATTTAAATAAAATTCAAATTCAATATATATATATATAAATATATCAAATGTCGTGGATCATCAGGCAAGGTAAACTTCTACATAAATTAAAAAAATAAGAATGTTCAAAATACAAAAACATTTATTGAATACAAATTGAATATAAAACTACAAATGCAAGAAACAATTGATATCTGATACTAGCTATACATCCACCACTGGCTGGTACAGTTGCGCAACTAGTTGCGCGTACATATACCTGCATAGTAGTTTACGTACGTAGTGCAAAATCTCTCTAATATAGGACTATCCCGATTAAATTCAATACCTTTGACATGAACTTTTACGGGCATCAGTTTTCTATATTATATTATAAAGTATATATTGTATAATAATAAACACATTAATAAATCTCATCCAGCAATGCGAACTTAAAATATATATTTTTAATTATTTGAATAATTCATAATTTATCCATTATCGTCAAAAGCAATTTGCTCTAAATTTTTTTTTTTTTTTTTTTTTTTTTTTTTTTTTTTTTTTGGGTTCATTTTGATGGTAAGGCTGGGCCCTTTTAAATGCGGGGCCTCCGGCCCTGTTTCTCCGCGACATATCGCCGAGAGAACAACGCGCTGCAGAATTCTTTATGAGAAACAATTATTCGGACAAAAATGGAAAAATGTGGTCACGATAGAGGAATCTTGGGTATATTTAAATGACCGCAACTAAACGAGATATGTTTATTATCATCAAAGGGAAGAAAATGTCTTGGAATCTGGTTCAAAGAATCTTCAAAGGGTTTTGTGATTACTGTTGGTTTTTGATATAACGGCAAATAAAAGTTAAATAGAGTGCAGAAAACTGTTGAGGTCCACATATTATCAGGAACATATTGTTGCGTTGTTTCTTTTCTGACACCAGTTGTTACGTTATTTTCTTTCTTGACGTTTGTACGGGGTTTGTAGATTTGGAGTGAATAACGACGATACTTGATCAAGTATCGAAACACATTTTATTAGTCAGTATTGTCAGGTCAGCTCCAAAGTAACGTTTTACAGTCGTCGGAGATCTATTATATAAACTCGCTGGAAGAATCAGCGACACAGCCTTCAGGTTATCAGGCTATCTCGGTGGAGACAGCTTCCCTGCAAAGCACCAGAATATAGCTCCCGACTGTCCTCGATCGTTCTCGGAACTCCACGTACTCTCGAGACTCTCTACAACTCGATGCACTCGACGACACACAGAGCACGGCCCTCGACTCTTGGGTTCAGTTGTCTCCGGAGCTCAACACGCTCTCTCGACGATGTACTAACCACGATACACTAAGAGACTCTTTCGGTGATCTCGACGACCCACTCAGCACTCGCTGCCTGGCTGTCAACTCGATCGACTCCGCAGGGATTGACTCGCTAGACGAGACACCAACTCAATACTAACTATCTCGCATTTAACGAGGCACACTGACTTACTGACTGCGGTCCAGCAGGGTTTATATAGCTTTCGGCTTGTGTTCGAGAACATTCTGGGCTAAACCTAAGAATTCGTTCCAGAAGGTTTTCTCCATCAGTCCATGGTATACCGCCAATTTTGTCGCCAAATGGGCGATTTCTCGCCAAATGTGGCAACTTTACCTTCTTTTTGTCATTTTATGGCAACCCTAAAACTGCTTTGCGGCGATGCCATCTCACCGCGCCTTGACATTTCGTAACAATACGCTAAAACGCTAGAAGGGACAATCTCAAAATGTGCGTTTTTAAGAAACAGTTCATCAAAAGCGCAAACCGGTTAGAATTCGTTCCAGAAGGTTCTCTAACCGTCCATGGTATATCGCCAATTTTATTGCCAAATTGGCGGTTTTTCGCCAAATATGGCAATTTTGCCTTCTTTTGCCATTTTATGGCAATCCTGAAACTGCTTTGCAGAGAAGCCATCTTACCGCGCCTGTACATTTCGTAAGAATATTTTGTATCCAATTTTCATATATGAAATGAGATCTCTTACCGACAGTACCATCAATCAGTAGAACTTCATCAAGACAAGACAAGACAAGGCAAGGCAAAGCAAATAGCCGCGTGTCAAAGTCCACTGTTAATTTCTTGGAAAAAAAATGGAGCAAGAAGTGTATATCAAGGCTCATATTCCTATTAAGTCTCCTGATGTATCATCCACGGATTTATGGCTTTCGGCCTTTTAATAAGTGGATTGTCCAGACGTCGACCTGCAAACCCTTCTTGGACTTTGAAAAGCTGTTCAAGAGGAATGGGATAAAATACCTCTTCCGCTACTAGAAGATTCTTTACTGTGTTAATTACGGTGTAGAAAGGAAGTGAAGAATAAGCGTTATCAAATGGAACATTTAAAACACAAAAATTGTAGGTAAAATATTTCTGTAAATACTACAATGAAAATCGCTGCTAAAAAAAAAAAAAAGTGGGCGAACAGCCTGCGTAAGAGGTATTCCAAATGTTTAAATGACTTGCGCACGCTAAAGTATCTGGCCTCTTTTTTTTTTTTTTTTTTTTTTTTTTTTTTCACTCACGAGTCGGTTTCATTGATTAGAAACAACTTTTGCGCAAGTTCTCTCAATGAAGGGAATCTGTGTTGCAAGTAATATGTTAAAATCGCGTAGGTTGGTGTTCTAGAAATTAGGTTTCGCCTCTTTTACCTTAGTTTTCCCTCTGGGAGATTCTTCAGTGACTGAATATTAAAATTTATTTTACATTTTTAT